ATCATGTCCTTCTGATCTTATCAAGCATGTCTTTCAACAAATGTCATTTAAAAGCAATCAGAGTCACCTATTCTGATAGCATAAATATGAACTAGTAAAGGTAAAAATACTGAGATGCATTATTCAGAGTAATGAAGTGTTGAAATGGCATACAATTTACTTTTCAATCATATTTATGTAGCAACTCTCAGTCTCAGTCTCTCTCTCAATGCTGTCGAAATCTCAAGTGACCTGCTTACCGCTAACTCCTCTTTTAAGTTCACACCATAGACTCATATAGACTCCTTCTATTCCAGTCCAGTTCACACATGACTGGGCGGAGTTTTCCGATCGATAAATTGGGAGTAATCACACAATTAGCCTTGATGACCTGACGATACATGCATGCAGTAATTAATTGCTTGAAACAGAAGAATATACCTGATTTCTGACAGACGGTCAGTGTGAGATTAAGTTCAGAACACTCTCGCTGTTTGTGTAAAATTTGTACTGTGTGTATTTTCTAAGGTATATCCTAATCAAATCGAAATAGACAGTAGACCAGTAGGGCACTCGTGAACGTGTTCATAGTTAATCCAGATGACCATAAGAGGTAACCTGCTTGATATGTGCTCAGACGAGCATTTACTATCCGGGTTGATCGAATGCGCTCTGGGACCAATCAACAATCCTAGAGTTCAAAATGTAGATGGCCTATCCGGTCACGTGAGCGTAAATTCGGCTCCCGGATTGACGATACTGGATAAGAAAATTTGAATTTAGGAATGACTGTTTGTCCGAAGAATATTCTGTGATTTGGTTTGCAGCGTGGCGTGAACGTTCCGAGCATATTACCACATCAACAAAACTTCTTAACGACTCATGTGCGTTCACCTTCCATACAGTTGTTCACATTAATTGCGCACTCTCCATTTATGTCTTGCATGTTGGCCCTCGGATGTAAATGGTGATCATCAATTAATTCACAGTCTGATGCTTCTGAACAATCGAATGGACTAATCAAAGCTTGATACTCTAAATTAATTCATAGTTTATCCAAAAACTGTGACGCATCAATGGACTGTAGATCGTCTGTCGTTTTAGTTACGTGAATAATTGTTCTTCTTAAGTGATAAAAATTTTCAAGAAACAGTTTCGACAGGTTATCAGTGGCCTATTGAATTCAATGTTTCTAAATACAAAGTTCTATCTCTACCCCAGAAGAGTAGGTTCTCATATTTCCTCGGAAATCAGTAGCTGCCACATACGACAAGTGAGAAGAACTTAGGTGCAATGGTTCAAGACTTGAGCTACTCGAACAATTGAACCAAGGCCTCGTCCGCTGTTGTGAAGAATGTTGGTGTGCTTAGGTGATTCTTTGACTTGGTTTGAATCAGTACTGTTCCCATGTTTGCCATCAGTGTATATTCCGCCATATACAGAGTACGCCATTCAAGATGGGTTTCAACGTGATCGCAAGATGCTTGAGCGTCCACAAAGGATTGCCACCAAGATGGTCAAGGGCTTGAACTGTCCCAACTATGAGGAGAGATTATGATCCCTGGGACCATATTCTGCCCCGGTATCACCGAACTTGAGGAGGTTTGATTTTGGTTTATCAAATACTGCAGAACTCGAACCATCCATGTCGGCTGCTGATCACGTTGTCGAACACCATACACTTTAGGGAAAATAGTGTCAAGTTACTGATTCTGAAGTGTCGACTGGAATATGGGCGTCAATCTTTTGCAATCAGAGTACGCAGTATTTGGGACACCCTTCCGTCTCATGTCACTTGTGCACCAACCATTGAATCTTTCAAGTGGAGACTTGATGAAACGCTGGCGCATTTCATATTCTTACACAACTAAAAAAACAAACGAAAAATAGCTGAAGAATAACTACATTATCTGTTATCTCCTACCCGGAACTCTATGTGGCGCTTTATCATTTTTTCGGCGAGAAATGGTTTAACTGTATAATTATCCAATGGAGACGAGAGAAGCATTAGCTTGCAAATACTTTCCGTAATGAAACTTTGACTTTGACTTTGACTTAGATCTTCAATGGCACGTTCGAATTGAACGTGTTTTTTGGGAGTTGTGTTCCCTTAAATTAAATATGGAATTAGGCGATTCTGTCTATGGTATTCTATTCTATTGTAATTCTTGAATCATCCGTTTTTTTGGTGCGGGGGTATCCGGGACTGAGCAAAAACTAAATAGCCGCAGGGATTTACTCCAATGAATGGAAAGGACTAATCTGTATGAAAGACAGGAGAATATTCAAAACCATAGCAAAAACAGTCCATCTGATTCAATACTCTTACATCATTAAGATTGAAAATGCCGCAGACTCAAGGTTTTGTCTGATTAAAAATGATTGAGTTTGTCTGAATTTATATTTAGGAATAAACTAATATATAATTTCAGTATCCAACTATGGCTTACCTTTTCTGAATGTAGTTTGGGTTTGTCAATGAATGAAGATTACGGTTGATCTCATCAATGTTTGTCGTGTTCTTGATCAGTATTGCCAAACTATCGACTTAACTACGACATGGGTTCCCGGTCACGTGATCGAATCCTATTTCAGGTGAACTATAGGTGGTAGATTCATCAAAAACCGCGTCAAAAGCGGAGTTTGTATCCTGCTACCACTGCCCATTTTTAGCCATTTTCCGTATTTCGTCGGGAAGTCCAGGATTGATCGCCGTCCCTTCCTGGAAATATTAAGGAAGTAAAAATATCATCATTATCAATAATGATATGTCCATTCTCACAGAAGTGGTCGTCTCGAAAGGGAACCACGGACGATAGGAAATCGGCGCAGTGTGTATCGTTCAGTTTGAATTACTGAAGCCGTTTGAAAGTTTACTAGTATTGTTTGGTTAGATTGATGATTGATACGAGCGCCTCTTGCCTAGCCCCCAACAACGGCAGAGAGAACGTGATTGGGAACAACAGTCACGGCGTATTGTTCATGATGCGATACGCAAATATAAGTGGATCCAAGAACGACCTTGAGGCACACCAATCAGATCGTGACCTTGGTGCTCCGATAGATCGATCTGACGACAGCTGTCTGATTCGCCTCAGTCATCTAATCCGGAATCAATTCGCCTTTGGTGTATCGAGCGCACTTGTGGTGTGAGGCGGATTCATGCGAGACCTGACAGGTTCTGTGCACTTCGTCCTAACTTTTGCTTGTTCAAGTATTATTTCTGCTAAGTCCGTGGCCATTTTCGAAGCTCTCAAATGAGTTATTTCACTCCTTTTTTGCGGTGGCGTGTCACCTTCGACCACCGCTAACGTGTGACAATGGTATACGCTCACTGTCAACAGTTGTGGTCGCAATCGGGTTGCGGAAAGTTAGTTACCAGCAGCTCTTACATGCGGTTTAAGTTGCGTGAATCAGATTCAGGTTCGGGGTGGGTAGGGATGGAGTTCATACGAATAGGCTATTCATAATGAACCACTACCCACGACGGTTTCACAGGTAATACAAGAGTTAGAAAAATGTATGCGTCAAGCGCGTTCACTAGGATTGATGCAATATCATGAGGCGGAGGGTTTACACAAAGCCTTTTCAACGAAGATCCGGAAAAATGCTCTCTGTTACTCAGGTATATTACAAATAATTGGCATACAGACACTTTTCCTGCAAAGTCACCTATCATACACAAGATTCGAAACTGAATAGTTCTACCATGAATGGGAACTGTACTGAACAATTCGGTTTCATTGGAAAGCGAAAGTAAAGTTGGATAAATAGTTACTACTATTGTATTGATGGGAAGTGGCAGATTATATATATATATATATATATATATATTTTAACGCAACACTAAAGGTCACGCAGATTCAAACGGTGATAGGAGAGAACGAAGAACCTTTAGTGTTGCGTTAAAATTTGTAGTAATTCAAAAGTTACTACTCAGATTTGGGAGATATTTCAAGCAAAGCAGCATGGGAATTCATTCTTTTTAATAAATGATTCCTGTTTCATGAGAGTGTTTATTTCATTTGAGCACTCGTACTCTAAATTATTTATCTCTTTTCATTCAGTGCACAAATAGGTGAAAATATTATAACTTAAATAAATTGTTGAATAATTTGGCTACAAACTACTCACGCATTATTCACAATACTGAAAGAACCGAAAATATAGTCCAAGAAACATACAAGTTAATCTTCGAATGTTGATCTTATGGTGTGAAGCTGTTTGAATAAGCGTCTGTTAGTGTCACCATACCCAAACGCGATGAAACATTTAAAGGGATTTGGCGTACAATTGAAGCCAAGAGGCAACTCAATAAAGAGGAACATAAATCTGATGACTCAGTTTCTGACATCAGCAAGTGTTTTGACGTGAACGCAAGCCCAATTTTTTGCTCAATCAACGGAATTTCTCTATCAAGACATAAACCGAGAGAGAGAAAACCGGTCATATCAAAGCAAGACGATGGTTGTATTTGATCACAGCAGAAAAGAGCTGCACAAAAGCAATCCGTAGGGTAGTCTGGGCTGATTAACCGTTTTTCCTCCCGGTTTCGTTTGCAAAATGATGGCTCAATTTAAAGTGCAGCTGAGGCCACGTGACATGAAAATGCTAATGAACACTCAATATAGTAGAGAGCGTATTGATTTCACCAACGGATTTAAATCGCGTCATTAGTTTGGCAATGGGTTTATCTCACTGGGGCTCAGCGAGTAATTCGGCAGGAAAAGAAAGCTAATCTACTGAGCTAGTTTTCTAATGAATTTTGTTTCACCTGTCAAAAGAAGTAAATATTCATTCCGCCTAACGAGTTGGAAGGAAAGGAAATACTGAGCGCCTTGTTACCGGTCTCCTGTACAAACCTCTCTGGATATCTGTATATGTTTTGCACTGATAAGGAAGCTTCAATTACTGCTACTCGTTAAATGCATTCGCGGAAGTCCTATTTTTCACAGATGGATGGACGGGTCAAGTTTAATGTCAAATTCTTTTAGTTACCGCACAGCAGCTGGGATTTTAGTTTAATCGAAAACGTCTTTCTGTATCACAATCAGAGATAAGTCAGCTGCCTCCACAGTGGTCTTCAGTGGTTGGGGTGCTGGGCGAATTAGAGCAAACTGGCAAATTGTGTTTGGCAGTCAACCTGGTGAACTCCCTGACAAAGCGGGCTGCCTTTAATGCTCAAAAATGAAGAAGGCCAAGTAAAACACGAACAAGATGAAAGTACAATACATGTATGAAGTCTATGAGTCATTTCAACACATAGATTCTAGTTAAGTTTTCTACTGTGACTTTGTTATTTTGCAAATGGTGCACCAGCAACCGTCGCCAAAATCGAGAAATTGTACATTTAAATTGCATGTTGCTGATAGAAAGCAAATGTATAAGTGGGTATTGTATCAGATATAATGAGTCTGATGTGAGGCAATAACATATTCAATCCCGTGAATGAGGCTGGAAA